GAGTTCAAGGTCTCCAGCGTATTCACATCTGCAGCGCGCACACAAGAGAGGGTATCCGAACTTGAGCCACAGCTGTGAATTGAGGGCATTAGCTCGGAAACTGCCAATACTATGAAAGGACTCGCTTTGTTCCGTTCACGACGATACTGTACAGTATCTGGTAGTGGCATTCAGATCACCACATACTTTAATCTCGTAGACAAAATCACCTCCGGAATACGGTCATTATAATTGTATTGTGGCGACATGAACGTGGAACTCGTCATCGCGGCTCTAAACAGGGGAGGTTGCGTGTTGCCTCCCTGAGCAACAACATGCTGTATCACAGAACCGGCACCTAAAAGATGGGTAGGAAGCAAGGCTATTCGTGACAAGAGTAGTTAACACGACTCACCAGCAGACTGTCCCCAAATCGTGACCTTCGTAGGGTCGCCACCGAACTGACTTATCTATCTCAGGTAACTTTCCTATAAGCTGAAATACAAGACAAGAAAGTAGATATCTTTGCTCACGTATGCCTGTACCCATTGCAAAGCGTAATTTTGGTCAACTTGAGATCAAGGTTCAGCTAAAGTCCGAAACACTGCCAAAACTTGATGAGCACGTACGTAGTCCAGCGTTGGGCGCACCCCCGTCTTTGACCGCTTGTCCAGCAAGAAAACCTAGTAGCTGACAGTGGGTAAATCTGAAAACCAGAAAAAGTCGGAAAAACATACCGAATAAACCGAGGCGGTACTGGAGTATGACAGTGATGACACCATAGTTCGATTCCACGATTAGATCTGCACCATCGTATAAACTCGCAGCTCCCGTGACATACCTATAACAATATCAATTTTACTAACAGGAGATCATTTCACATGCTACTTACCCTCCTCCGTGGATAAACACGACTACTGGGAGCCCACCCGACGGAGTGGCCACAACCACACTTCCTGGGGTGTATACGCTACCGGATGCAGCCAAATTGTGAGTTTCAGCGATCGTTCTAAGATAAGGCTTACTTTAAAAATAAGCAATCTTCCGACTGACTGACAGCCCTCTTGCTTAAGGAGATGCTTTCGAAACGATTCGTTGAGGCAGTGCCCAGGGGTGCTTGATAACATTCATTTGGTTGCGTGTTAGCTTGTTGAACGCCTGTGATGGTCGGTGGAGGCTGCGGAGCTGCCCATCTCAAGTTGCCTACGTGTTTAGTGTGTGAGTTGACATTGTATACGCTACACAAAACTGGACGCACCAAGTGGAGGAGCTGCATACCGTATTGCAAGGAAGCTAGTGGTATTTGTAGCTGTGTCCACCGAACCCTGGTACTGAGCATAACCCAAGTCAATGATGGGCGCATTCGTGGTGGCCGATGCTTCTAAAGCAAGCAAAGTCTGCGAAATAACCAGTAAGCTAGGTTTGATCAACATTTTTTACAATCTCATAGATCGCGGGGTAAGATACCGTGATGGAATCATGCAACCGCATTATATACTACCTTGCGCGTGAGTCCGAGACGACCTTACCTACAGGTTGATCACAGGATATGATGACCTTCTGGTCCCTCAGGCTAAGACTAACAATTGAACGTTGAACGTTGCAACGTTGAGCAGTGTACGCTACGTAGAGCTTGACGAAAGAACAGGTACCGACAGTTAGATGTACTGTCGAGGACAGATTCCACCCAATAGTATTCCACCGCAAGCATGACGCTTACGCAGCATATGACGCAGCCTATGACGCAACACCTTCGATGACGCGTCTCACCTAGTAGAGCTAGACTGGTGACCAGCCCCTCCATGAGGCAAACCGTCGATAGAGGCAATAGAGGGACTGGTAAATCTAGGTTTGAATTTGGATTGTGCGCGCTTTAGAGTAATCACATGACCTGTAGCCAATAAGAAAACTAAAAATGTTGAAATTAATGTTCGAATATTGATGCCGGTGGCCGTCATTAATGTATGTATCTACTCTACAACTCCAATGGACGTGAACTCTATCATCCAAGCTGTGCGGGAAGCCTCGATGGAAGGACTAGATTGATTTGCTCGTTCGCCGATAGCCTGATACAAAAACGGCTCCCTACCGATCATATCGAAACCCTCAGTGATAAGGATAAGACGGATGTGTTACGCGCTTGCCTGCTCGTGTACATCCTCACAACTACAACCATTGTTCCACGAGTATTCCAGCTAGAAGCCATTCTTGCAACATTGAATGAGGGCATGCGGATGCATCCACTTGAAAATGCGCGCATGACTTCGGGGATCCTCCCATAGAAAATTCAACACCATTTCCAACCTCCCATTTCCTGCCAATTGCTTCTCAGTTCCCGAAGGCAGGTACTACAGACCGGTTGACATCAATGTGAATGAGCATCGAGAGGTCCCCGTCATCCCAGGACCATCCTTGAGACATTTTCCCCTTGAGAACAGCGCTTAGGACCAGTACTATCTCAGAAGAAGCCGAAGTTTGAATTCAAATCATAGTCCGAGTGCAACGTGACGCTGCCCTGCAGTGACCAGTGGAACGAGAGCTGATCGCTGCCGGAGTGGACGAGCAATGTTACCTGAACGACACGTTCGGTATGTAATCGAGAACTTAGCAAAGACTTATCTAACTCCCGAAAAGGCTTTTCCGTCATGTGATTACTCCGCGCACTATCCAAATGTAAACCCAGATTTACCAGTCCATCGACGGTAGACGGACTGGTCACGAGTCTATGATTCCACCCGCAGGGCAGCTTCAACAGGTGTTGTGTCAAATGAACACTGTAAGACTGGCTAACAAATGACATTGGCGAAAAAAGGTCTCAGGGCCAGGCACCATAAGAACCTGTTACATAATGAGTTATCTTGTTTGTTCACCCAGCTGGCAGTAGGTGAGCCTGGTGAGGTGCCGCAGTGCAGTAAGAAGTGATATCCACTCGAGAAAATGTGTCGCAAACTATTGAAAAGAGTAAAAGTAAACTGCAACATCCAGGATTAACGTATGTGAGTGTGTCTCAAAATTGTAGAAAACAAAAAGCAATGGCATTCTAATACAGCGGAAACACGATTCATTTTCACTGCTTCTTTGATTATGTTTAGAAGCACTCTGTGGTAGAATTGAATGGAACATTGAGATCGATAGGTAGAGATATGGAAAGAAATACGCACTGCGATGGACGATACCAGGACCGGACTCGTCGTACTCCTGCTTTGAACACCACAGGTTCTGGAAAGTGGACAGGGAAGCCAAGATGGAACCACCGATCCAGACGGAGTATTTCCGCTCAGGGGGAGCGACGATCTTGACCTAAGAACGATAGTGAATAAGAATTATGTCTCACATCCGAAAGTCTGGCACGAACCTTCACGCTTGATGGCGAGAGCGAGGTCAATTCCTTCTGCATACGGTCGGCGATACCAGGGAACATGGTAGTACCACCCGACAGCACGACGTTGCCATACAGGTCACGGCGAATATCAAGATCGCACTTGTAGATCGAGTTGTATCTAGAAGATGTATTAGATCGGACAACGCTCTTGGTAATTAATATGTTTGCTTACGTCGTCTCATGGATACCTGCAGCTTCAAGACCAAGGAATGCAGGCTGGAAGAGAGCTTCAGGTGCACGGAATCTTTGACGATTATATGAGATGATGACCAATGATCGACAGTGGATCATCTTACCGCTCGTTACCGATAGTGATAACCTGCCCATCAGGAAGTTCGTAGCTTTTCTCGAGGGCTGATGACTGTGCAGCAGTTTGCATCTCCTGCTCAAAGTCGAGGGCGACGTAACACAGCTTCTCCTTGATGTCGCGGACGATTTCACGTTCGGCGGTCGTCGTGAAAGAGTAACCACGTTCGATTAAGTTCTTGATGAGATAGTCGGTGAGATCACGACCAGCAAGATCGAGACGGAGGATGGCGTGTGGAAGAGAGAAACCTTCGTAGATAGGCACAGTGTGGGTGACACCATCACCAGAGTCCATGACAATACCGGTGGTACGACCAGAAGCGTACAGTGATAAGACAGCCTGGATTGAGACATAGAATGCAGGTGCATTGAATGTCTCGAACATGATTTGAGTCATCTTTTCACGGTTGGCTTTAGGGTTGAGAGGAGCCTCTGTGAGCAAGACAGGATGTTCCTCCGGGGCTACACGAAGCTCGTTGTAGAAAGTGTGATGCCAGATCTTCTCCATGTCATCCCAGTTTGTGACGATACCGTGCTCGATGGGATACTTGAGCGTCAGAATACCACGCTTAGATTGGGCCTCATCACTGGGCAGATGTAAGCTGACGACGACTACGACTGCGGCGAAGCATACCCGACATAAGAGTCTTTCTGTCCCATACCAACCATGACACCTTGATGGCGCGGGCGACCAACGATCGAGCTGTGCAATTCCTGTGAATACCCCGCGCATAATGGTGATACGGATGTGAAAACGTACGGAAAGACGGCACGAGGAGCATCGTCGCCTAGATAATGCAGTCAGTTGTGTATCCATACAACACCATGAATCGTATTGAATCACCAGCAACTGCGAGAAGGCTTATCAGAGAGTGTAACAGATTAGATCGAGGATAACTTACAGCCAGCCTTGCACATGCCGGAACCATTGTCGATAACCTGACAAGTTTGATCATGAGCTTGCTAGACACGGCAATAGAATTGGACTTACGAGGGCAGCTACTTCTTCTTCCATGGTGAATTATTCGTTGTTTAAGGGTAGTCTTGATGGCCGTTGGAGATCAAGCTTAAGTTGTACATGTTATTTAAACAGTTCTTTTCGGGAAGCGCAGTCGCGCAGCCGCAAAACTTCGCAGGGCTGTGCAATGGCTATCATGATGGTCACAACCATCAATGTTGCCAAGCTTTAGCCTGTACCGCAGTCACAGGTCATCCAAAAATTTATGCTGCGTGACCCAAGTGTGTCCACGGGCGTGGGTCAGTGATTAGTGACGAGAATCGAATCGTAATACGCTAAGCCAAGTGTGAAAATTTCCGTGCATTGGAGTTGACAGAATTGTCAGCCTCATATTCCCATCTTCAAGTTGAAATTGGAAGGATGTTAAGGTCTGAGTAGGACCAAGCTGAGCAAAGTGTTGACCGACTCTCGGTTCCATCTATCATGGCACCCTCTAATGACACCAATACAGCTAGCTTCCCAGTTGCATCTACATCCAGTCCTTCCCGCTCGGCCCAGGACAATCAAGGCTCATTTCATGTCGCAAGCATCGTCATTCTCGCAATCTCTATAATTGGCATGGGTCTCCTCATGGTCTCCGTAGTTCTTCAGCATCGCTCATCAGCCAGGCTCAAGCAAAGCTCATCGGAGGTCCACAAAGACGAACCAAGACCGTTCAACAGACTCTGGTCCCGTGTACTCTCGTTGTTCTCAAAGTCGTATCTCTGGTGGTCGAAAGCCAAGTCAGCTACCAAGCACAAGCAGGGCGAGATGACTACTGTCAGCGCGTTGCATGCGACATGCACCTTCGTCGCTGCTGCACCATCGAAATTTCTTCCCCCTCCTGTCGTGATGCAGTTCAGAGTACCGAACACAGAGAAGTTTGTTGTGCTATGTTCGGTCTGTTGCCCGCTAGCGGCGCACCATGCATGTGGCGATTCAAAGCCGTGGGTGAGTGCGGTCTATTCTTACAACGCAACTACAACTCACACGACTTAGGTGCAGAGTACATTCGCCGGCATTCCACATCTAGCCCAAGAACAGCTTCCCGTGAATAATCAACCATCAAGTATTCCCGAGCGTCAGCCACATAGCGTCGATATCCCGCCTTTCGATCAAGATCACTCACCTACCATCGAGCTACCCGAACTGTCCTTTGAAGACCAGCCCCGACCGCCTTCTACTCCACCAAAAGGGCTAAAGAGGACGCTTGCCTGAAAAGATCTCTCAGTCTTATTTGTAGACTCCCCCAAGATAACATGTCAGCAACCAGATGCTATGAACCTTACGATATACTCGTTTCATCCCTCAAGCCGTAAGCTAGGATGAATGTTGTTGCTGTCGGCTGGAGTTTCACTGGACTCGGGCGCATCCATGTTAAATTAAGAAACTTATCAGACACCCTTGATTTTACTTTCGCTCGGGAAGATATCAAAACCCCGTAATTCTATATATAATATTACATGCAACACATTGCTATAGATCAGAATGTCTCCCGCTCATGAGCCTTCGATCCATGTATTGTGCCGTTCAAGCAATTCTTCGATGATGTCTTCCTCTATTTCCTTGGGATGGTTGGATGGTTGATCAGAATCAATTTCTATCCAGAATACCGCATATTTTGGTTGAGATACGAGGACTCCGTCCGATTTCTTTGTACCGTCTGCCTGCACCACAGGAGATATCAACACGACGCGGTGCTTACGGTGATGGAGATCGTTTCCGATCACCACCTGGTGCCCATAACGCTCAAGCGCTTGTTGGGCTTTCGGTATCAGAATCGTCTCGTCAGTTTCGAGCTGGGAAAATATATCGGTCAAATGACACGGTAAAAATTTGAAGCAAACGTACCTTAAAGGAGACAATGAACCCTTCTGGGTTCCATTCCGACACAAGTGGCTTTAAGATCTTTGGTACTTGATCCATTTCTATGGATAGGTTACCCTTTCCAGATTGTATCTTATGTTCCGACTGACCGTCGCTATTGTCAACATCTTTCGCTGGGACAAGGTGTGACCACTTACTAATCTCTGCTGCGGTAAGAAGAAATCACTAACGGCGGCAGCAAGATAATACATCGCCTTTCTTCCTAGTATGCTCATCTCTCTACTGATTGCGCGCAGTAGCCAAAGATACTCGTTGACGGTAACGAACGAGACCATGTGTAGGGTTCCTTGGGCATGCACTGCTTTGTATGCACGGAGCACAGAAAATAGTTTGGCGCGCTCAGCAGTGGTTACAGTGATTTGCGGTGCCGGTGTCGTGGGTGGAGGGTCATTTGAGTACGGGAATGCCGAGTCAATAGTCGAGGACGACGGCAATGCAGCATCAATCTCGAGAAAGTTGAGGAATGGGTTGGTAGAGTGGGAATAATGTCGGCTAAAGGGTTGCAGGCTGAATTGGCGATGCATGAATATGACGGCATAACCAGCTTTGAGGAAATATTCGGCGGACGTTGCACCTCGGGTACCTGCCAGTGCATGATGGTTGGCAAAATATAACGAAAAGAAAAATAACATGTACCGGCGCTGAAATTATCGAGGAAGCGGACGCTGCACATTTAGTGGACATGAGGTCAGTGACCCTGTGCGGCTGGGGGTGGTTGCTCGTTCTTACACATTGAGCTCCAGTGGTACGGTGGTCCCTCCGCTCTGGTTCGAGTTCAGGGTGCATGACGCGAGCACTTGTGATAATGACTCTCACCGTTACAAGCACGACGGATCGGTTAGCCTGTTGTTGCCGTTGAATAAATTCGTGAACTCCCTCTATGTCGGCGACGAGTGAAGGAGGTTGTGATTGTGTTTCAAAGTATGATTCAGCAGAGAATGTCTGCGATTCATGTGTTGTATTAGACATCTTGTGTGAATCAAGAGACCCTGCTTCAAGTGCTTGCGATCTCACCGCGACGATTGAAGGGATCGAGTAGCCAAACTGAGTAATTAGTCGTGCAATTTACATTGACCAATCACAAAGTTCTGACCCTAACCTTGGGTAACAACACTGCCACTAGTGACTTAGCTAGAGCCCGTTCGGTAACCAGTATTTGGTTCACTTTACAATATATACATAACAACTGTACGACGGCGGCATGAGCAGCCGTAGGCGGAGTCGGAAATATCTTTGCTTCCGACCATGACCACATATGCTCCTGCCAGTCATATCGATTTCGAGTATCGAAAGCGTGTCTTTGCTGCTGCTACTGTCATTATCCTCTGCACCCAATTCCAGATCATGCAGATGACACAACAAGACCCTAAGGCTGAGAATGCCCACTGGAATGATGCAGAGACTATGGCGATGCTAGATTATCTTATCCTGCATCGATCAAAGTTAGGTGGCGTGACCTTCAAGCTTTTGACATTCAATGATGCTGCTGCTGATCTCCGTACCAAGAACTTGAAAACTCAAGGCGCCACAAAGACAGGAATACATTGCAGAGGCAAATGGAATACAGTATGTATCTCTCATCCCACTCAGCCACCACCACCATCTCACTGATCTTAATCAGTTGAAGTCTGGGTACACTCAAATCAACAAATACCTGCAGAAATCGGGTGTTCATTGGGATCCTGTGGTTGGGGCCAATATTCAGGGGAAAGCCGCTGAAGATGCATGGTCAGATTATGTTGGCAAATTGGTATGTGATCATACTCTGATCTCCGCACAACACTCACTGATCTGTTAACAGTCCAACTCCGGTATGAAGCAGTTCAAACGTGGATGGAGGTTCTATACCAAGATGGAGCAAATTCTGACGCGTGTCAGTGCTGCTCATGGGGCGGCAGCCTATAATCCTGCTGCACTGGCAGCCACTGAAGCTGCCACAGAAAATGCGCCAGTGCCAGGTTCCTCTACTCAGCCTGGTGGGGCGGGTGCTCCTACTAGCGACTCCAGCGCTCTTGATGTGAGCGTGGCGGCTACCGCTAAAGATTTCACATGGGGGATTCCACCCCTTCATATTCCTGCACCGGTAGCCTCAACCTCTGTGATGGCTGCTCCCCCTGTATCCAGCTCTGGGAATTCCGGAAAGCGCTCTCATAATGACATGATTTTTGAAAGTGCACCTCCCTCTGTCACCTCTTACGCGCCGACGTCAGAAGTAGCTATGTCAGAGGCGCCACACGCACACTCAGAGATGGACTTGAAGAAGCCGAAGCTTTCGGTGCAGGGTAAAAAACATAGCGCCATCGGCACCAACAAGACACGTGTAACCTCTAACAAGGGCATAAAGGAGGCTGCCAACACCGCTGCATTGATGAACCTGCAAGGCACAATCAACCGCCTATCGGACTCTATCACAACATCGTTCACTGTCACTGACGAAAGCCGCGTAGCCGATGAAAGATCGCGTGCCTTGCAGAGCATGCAGGATGAGGAGGACTTGTCGCTGGATGATAAGCTGGCGCTTGTGCATGCATTCATGAGGAGTCCGATCACTTGTTCTTCTTACTTGAACATCACGCAGCCTGAGCTGCGCATACCATTCTTATGTTCAATCCTCGTGGAGGCAAGGCAGGTCGTGAATTTGCAACCCTACCGCATCCAATATCTCGTACTTCCATTTCTACTCAATCGCCACATCATGCATATCACTCGTTGTTCTTGTATGTCTTGTATGTAGGATACATGAAGTTGTCAATGGTCATCATTTGTCTATCTGCTCGATGTCGGAATCATCATCTAAGTCAAGCTCACCCATATCCAATGTGTCAAGGTCAAGGTCAAGGTCATCGTCATCGTCTCGCCCCTGCAAGTAAGCTTGGTAGTCATCCCACATCTGTGTTGCTATGTGATTACGCAGCGCATTTGAATTTGCGCTTGCATGCGCATGCACATCTGTGTCCATATCGTCAGGATCAGCTTCATCAGGCTGTCCCTGATGCGTGGGGTTGTCGTTGACAACAGTAGCTTGTGGGATATCCCCTTCGTTTGGGTCGTTGATGGATATATAATTGTGGAGTACACAAAGCGCAGCAGGGATGCGTGCTTGTATCTCCATTTTATACTCTGGTGCAAGTAGCAGAATACGAAAACGGTGCTTCAAGACGCCAAAAATACGTTCAATCACATTGCGCGCCGAGGCATGTCGAAGATTAAACAACTCTTCCTTATTGAGTGGTCTAAAAGATAGCGTCAATTCGAGCCCATGTTGAAAAAAAGTAGTCTCACCTAATGCTGGCGCGCCCCCATTCTGCAAGATGGTAGCGGACACCGCGATAAGGCACTAGGAGCTCAGGGCGCGAGGGGAACCCAGCATCAGCAAGAAAGTACTTGCCAGGCGGAAGCTTCAAGCCCCCCTCAAGAGCTTCATCCCAAAGATGTGCATCAGTTGCCGATCCTTCCCAGCCAGTAAGCGCATAGGTAAACTTGAGGTCGAAATCACAGCTGAAAAGGCAATTTTGTGACACAAAACCTTTGCGGTTCTGATAGAGGTGACGGTCATATGAGCGGGGGAATGCATGAATATGGCTGCCATCAATGGCGCCAATAGCGTCCATGAAATATGGCCAGCGCTTTGGGTTGTCACGAATTTTAGAGGAAACCGGTGCATCATCTGCAGGAAGATGAACGTATTGTGTGTAGAATGGGTGGGAGGATAGAATGTCAAGCATCTTGCAAAAGTAGCTATGAAGGAGTGATCAGTAGGCATCAATGTTGAACAAATAGATAAAACTTACTTTGAAATTGTTTCATTTGAACGCTGAAAGCGCTCCCCGACATGTCTTATAGTAAGCCCTGTGACACACGTGTAGAGAAAAATTGCAAGTTGCTCCTCTAGGGAGACATGGCGTGAGTCTGTGTGACCGAGTGCACGAAGCTCGTTTACCAGACCCTCAAATACATGCACATGCACACCGAGCTCACAACGCATTCGTTCAGGGTGGCCAACAATGAGTTCAATCACCCATTCTTGACCGGTAAGTGCAGATGTGTGGTAAGGTTCTGGATCATCGGGGATTTGTATTAATATGATCAAGTGAGTTGCAGCAGCGAGTAGTGATGCCGCAGTCCGGTTCTGAACTTCGGTTCGGACCTGAACCCTCCCGGACCAGACCGTGGGTTCGGTCCTAGGTTCGAAATAGTATAAGGACCGAACCGATTATTAAGTTCAGCGTTCGGCTGCTGCCTGAATACTGTGAACCCGTTCGAACCCGTCCGAACGTGTTCTCATATTCTTTGCATGATCCACCAATATATCTGCTCTGATCTTCTGGCAACCGGCATGTCGATCGATCTCGGGACAATCAACAGCGGATTGGACTTCGCAGCCAAAACACCCAACACATTTCCATTGGTGAGATCTGACTTCCCTGGTAATCTACTCGATGTTCTGGTAAGCCTAATGTTAAACAAATGTTAATCTTTATTCAGACTTCAATGGACTTTATTTTCAGAACATATTCTCAGGTTTCTCGTTCTGGTACTTCAAGCTTCAACACCAAGTAATTGCATGGCAACAGGATGTTCAAGGTGCGTCATTTTTTTGATCTCTTATCATAAAATTTGGAATAAATGAGCTACTTACTACAGGTTCAATCTTCACCCTCCTTGCTGCACAAATGTTGTGCGCACTTGGATCTGACGGCCAACTCAAGGATGCTAGTGCCATCGATTGGTACAATGATCCTGACGATGACACGCCCATGCTTCCTCCACCTCCGCCTCCTGCATCCAATGGCAAGCTAACTGCCTTTGTGTCTCGCTCAGGCTGAGCTGTTAAACCGACAGAAAAAATCCGCGATGCTGGCAACACGGCTCCAGCCAAACGAGTGGCTCCAGCGCCTCCCCAAGGACAGCCTGCACCCAAGCGAGTGCAACATGGGTCCCGTCTGGTCCGTCACCATGATGACGATGACGACGAACCCCCTGCGCTAGAGGATTGTTCAGATGATGAAGAAGAGGCCGAAGACAATGACAAAGAGGAAGCTTACGAGTGGACCAAGGTATTTGGAGACAAGGACTGTGAGGATCGCAAGCATAAGAAGAAAGAGGAGCGCAGTGGGGATTTGAAGGTAGTATTTACTCAGGAGAAGGGACGCATCAATCCGCACACCCAAGAACCCGAAGATGGCTGGTGGTGCGAGATATGCAGGTATGTTTTTACTTTTACTTTGAACGTCACACACATAACTAACTTTGTCAATTCAAGAGCCAATGATGTACCCACCAATCAGTGCTTTTTCAAAGGCAGTGTTTCGACTCGCCGCACCCATATCGCTCGAAATGCGAAGTGTCACTTTCCAATATACCGCGACCGCTGCAAAGAACGAGGTATCAAGATGCATGATCGGGCGATACCTCCTAACTGCAAAGCAACCGACGACTTGCAGAAAACGTTAGATGCCTCCCTCACGCCTAAAATTCCTGAATTCACCAAGACCGGTCTAATGGATTACATTGTTGAACTTATCGTGTCTGAGGACAAGGTGAGTTTTTTTTTTTGTAATCGTGACTTAGGATGTTCATGCCATAGATAGGCATTCCAACTCGTTGACAAGGGACCCTTTTGCCGGCTCCTTCAATACCTCCGGCCTTCCCTTTCAGACAGGGATATTCCTCACCGCACCAAGACTCGAGATGAAATTCTTGAACGGGCGCAGCTTGCCGTTCAACGTGTCAAGGAGAAACTTAAGCAAGTTGATAGCAAGATTTCGATCATGTTCGACTCATGGACCTCCGAACCTGGGGTACCTTTTCTCTCCGTCACCGCGCATTATATTGACTCCCCAGCTGGGAAACCTCATGAGTGGGAGTTGAAGACAGAGCAGCTTGCATTCACCATCATCAACGGCAATCACAGTGGGAGCAACATTGGAAGAATCCTGATTGAAACTATCAATAACTATGGCATCCGCACTAAGGTTGGATGGTTTACAGCTGACAATGCTACCAACAACGACACAGCAATTCAGACTGTTGCACTTGCTATCGACCCTTCCGGCAAGAAATGGATTGCTGGGGAACACCGTGTGCGGTAAGTGAACTATTTAATATCGTGATTTATATATATTGATGTCTACTATTCAGCTGTACGGAGCACACCTTGCACTTAGCTGCGAAACACTTTGTTGAGGAGGTCGCACCCACACCAGCAAGCGTGCTCCTCAAGAACATGGCCGATGAAGATGATGATGATGAAACAACTGATTTTGAGGTTGCCGACACCGCAGGAAAAGCCCTCGCACTTGTTACACAGATTCGGAAATCTCCCCAAGCACGCACTTTTTTTCAACAGTGTTGTGTCAAGGTCAATGAGCCGAAGCTTGAGCTTTTGAAATGGATTCGCACGCGATGGGCCTCACTCTTTGGTATGTTGGAGCGCACCCTTAAGCTACGCAAAGTAAGTTGGTTTCTATTACTGTGCCTATGCCCAATACTAACTCAATTTGATCTGCCGCAGGGGGTGAATAGATTCATACAACTGGCGGATGACAGCGATGAAGTCCCAAACTTGCAGGGCAAGTCATATGGAGCATTTGTCACGAGTTCCAAATACAAATCATTATTCTTTCTTGAACACTCGTAAGACACCCGTTAAGCGCCCATCACAAGCGCCCGTCGCTAGCGCCCAGTCAGCGTCTGTACCTGTAACGTTCACAAACCCTAACCCGAACTTCTCTATTCCGTTAGCGCCTACTACTTCTATTTCCGACGTTCCTGATTTTGACTTCCTTACTCAAGCGATTAAGTCACGTGACTCTAGAACCTTCCAGAATCCTTGCACAGCCATCACACGTTCCATGACATCATAGTGTAGTTATATTTAGAACATCGTACGATTCCCTTTCCTATTTAATGATTGGCTAGTTAGTTCAGATTCAGATTCAGTCTCCGCTTCAATATATGTATATAGGTAGCTCGTTGTAGTCAGTAGTTCTTCAGTTCAAACCTCTTTTGTATTAGCTTACTGCTAGCAATCCTAAGACGTCCCTGCTATTCCCTCTTTTTTGTTAGATAACCTTTGTTTGAGTCCTAGTCTCCGCCCCTACGTTTATTCGTTAAAAGGGTTGTGACATTAGGTTTGAACTATAGGGGACTCCGACTCCACGCATTACCGCTTGCACACTTTTTCTCTTTTGATCTGAGCATCTTGCGAAACGCCGCGATCCTCAATCAAAACAGAACCGTTACACGTTTCACATTGCCCGGCTTAACCGCTGTGATCCTTTGATTTCATCACTCTCCCCCTTTGCTCACTTGAGCGCATTCATACCTATCCATTTTCGTAGTTAGTAGTCCTATACCAGGCCCTGCCTTACATTGCAGCCGCCAGTATACGGAGGTGTTCACGACATTAGGCGTGTCACTACAACTTTGAGTGCTGGCCCAAGACCCTGCCTGCTCAACGTTACTATAATTTCCTTTTTACCTATCACTTTTCTTCGTACGATACGTAGGCTACTCTACCCGAGTATTTAGAGGAATTTCCTAGTCCAGACTCGGTCGCTTGTAAGCTTCGGCTGGAAGAGCACCTTGGCGTTCTAGTTTTCCCACTTGGCGAGTATAGTTGTTACGTACACATCTCTTTTAGTCAGTATCTAGGGAAGAGTCAGTTGGGTTTTACCAGGACCCTTTGACCCTGAAGTACGAGGTAGATCCGATCAGATATCGGGGACCGCTTCAGTTTTCCAGATTACGTATCTCTTTCCCATCTTCCCTTTTCACCATCTTTCCCTTCCGGAAGAGCCGTTACGACTAGCTCTTCACAGACATCAGTAAATCGGGTTCCAGAAAACAACTGGTACTATGTCTGAACCAACCGCACCAAGAATGCCGAGTAGCAGCGAAGAGTTTGTACAATATGTACAAGAGCAGATCGCCGCAAACAATGCACTGTGGCAAAATCAAGTCACGGCTCTGCAGAACAAGAATGACGAGCTACAAACCAAAAACGAAGA